TTTGCTATGTTTTTGCTAACTTTTAGCTAGTGTTTTCTACTTTTTTGTTAACTATTTGGCATGTCCTTGCGGACAGCTGGCTACTTTAGTCGAGCTTGAAGGTGTCTCTTTTGGAGGTTGCTTCTTGGTTTCCATGGCGATGTTAAACAGAGTCTACTGTGGATGACGACACTGGGGTTCCAGCAGTTTCCAGTTCACGGCAGGACGTTGGTGGATCCTGAGTTGTTCCTGAACATCCTGACCAAGGTCCATTCATCCGAGGGTGACAGGTGAGTATCCGTCAAACCAGTGAGGGCTGTCAAGTAAAACCTTTAGTAAGCTGGAAAAGAAAAACTACCAGCTGAAGTCAGTCGTGATCAATAACAAGAATGGGCCTTGTTAACTGAAGCTGAAAGGACACGATTGGTGTATGTAAACTTCTGGTCCATTTTAAGATGTATCAATGTTATTAGAAATATTTCAGTGGTGTAAAAAATATTTTTGTCGATTTTCTCGATGATCTTTGAGTAACCACGACAGACCTGAACACAACGCACATGACCTCCTGGACTCCCAGATCCTCTGTTTTATTATCTCACCATGGCAGTTTAAAAACGCTTTACTTCAGATGTTTATGTGAGGAACTCACTTTGGGATGCTCAGAAAGATGATGTAAATATCTGTTTAAGTGTCTGCATTACACAACGGGATCATGTTCCAAGCTTCAACCTGAACTTTGTTACCGTCATGGGTTAAGATCGCGGATCATCTGCAGACTATTTACTTTTGAGTTGAGTCATTCCTCTACTTTTTTACCAAAGAAGGAGAGAAAAACAGAACTGAAGAGGGACAAAAAGCATCAAGTTAAATAAACAGTCTTTTCTTTCTAAATATAAAGAGAAATGTTCATTTTTTAGGATATAAACTGTATAATAACATAATTTTCCTGCAGGTCAGAGCTGCCTCGGACACATGCTTGTAATTATTAAGCCTCTGCTCTTTGATGCAGGAAATTTCTGACTGTTTTCCTGAAGATCTGTTTCCCAGCGTGGAGCCAATGAGAACGAGCAGTAAATTCCTGGCTGAGGTCATTGTTTGTTAGAATTTACACGGGTTTGAGCTGGTGGTTTCCTTTTTTTTCCTCCTTCTTCCTTTCTGAGCGACTCCCTCCGTCGTCTTTTTAAAGCAGCCTCTCCACACACACTCACACACACACACACACACACAGAGCTGCTGCTGCTGAGGGACTGATCTGCTTCACAAAGGTGAGTTTTAACAGCTCCTCTGTTTATCTTAGATTATTGAATGAAACAAGGACTGAAACAGAAAAAAGTTATCAGAAGGATGTTGATTTGTCTCACTTAAGGAGTCATTCCAGCTATTTCCTTCTCCGGTTAGTTTCAGTCAGGAATCCATAAACAGTATTTAGCTTGTTATTTGCAATTAATTTATGTTATTTCATCTGATTAATTTTGGAGTAATTGTGCAACAGGTGTTGCGTTTTAGCAAACCAGACCAACCAAAGCTCTAAGTTTTATCAAACTAATTCAGTTTTGCTTTGGGGCTCATTATCACCTGCTGTCAAAATGTGTGGGGGTCTGTTAGCAACATATCTCATGAACAAGGCGACACATTTTTAATGAAACTGTCAAAAAGCAATAATTGTATGAACATCTAGCTTCAGTTAACCCAGCTGAAGGTGAACTCCACCACTGAGCAAACAAAGAAACAAACACAAAATGTTTATAGCTCAGTCAGTTTTACAGATGTTGCCCTAAAATTGGGTCTGGTAGTAGCTGAGAGTCGTGCACAACACAGCCTCAGAGTGAGTCGTCTCGCAAATCACACAAAAATGTGCGCACACCTTTGTTTTTTATAGGATTGACTCAAAACTTGAAACGGTAATGCCTCATTTCTCAACCTAAGCTGATCTTAAAACTCCGGCATGAAAGGCAGCGGGCGATATGCATTCCTTCAAGGAAAACCAGACCTTTCGTCGGTAAAGAGAAATCTTGGCGTTCTACTGAAGAACAGTTAGGGTGCATCATAATGAGGGATTTCCTCTCCATCTGATAACTTAATGTTGAAGTTTAGAGGAAAGCGCTCGTGTAAGTTTTCACATGTAAAGTTCAACATCTTGGAGTTAGTTCAGTTTAGATGATTTATGAGTAAACCGGTAATAAACCAAAGTTTATCATCAACTGAGCCCAGTATCTTACCCTCCAGACACTGAGATGTTTGGTTATAAGCTCCAGTTTAAACAGAACTAAGCTGCATCAAATAATTCTTCTTCCCAGTAAAACAAACGATGCACTGTGATATTTGCTTCTTACACGTCTGTATTTGTGTAGATAACCACGCACAGAGCCGAAATGTGCTCCGTGTGGCTTTAGGCGGCACAGTCGCCTCCCTTTCTGATGGAGCAGCTGCCAAACCAAACGCATGATGTCATTTAAGAGAGCCAAAGATTACGGTTCTTTTTCTGGCGCTCCTTGTGCTTCCTCCATGACTTCACCGTCCTTCACGGCTCATAAAACATATTTCAATGCCTGATAAATTAACTGGGTTTCACTTTAAGAATGCCACTTTGTTTTGCACATAATGAAGTTCTTCAAGCGATCCATAAACTACATGTAGAACTGTAATGTGCCAATTATCTCACGTGCAAGACGTTTTCATAACTGCAGATGTATTTTTGTTAAACAAAGTGAAGGGCCAAGTCTGGTCCATGAGGGCTGTACGTGGTAGTGGGTGGGGGTGGTTGAACACACGGTGGAGCAGTGGTTAGATTTGTTGCCTTGCAGCAGGAAGGTCACCGGATCGCCTCCTGCCTTGTGGCTTTTCTGGGTGGAGTTTGTATGCTCTCTTTGTGCACGTGTTGTTATTTTTTGGGTACTCCGGTTTCCTCCCACAGACCAAAACATGCCTGTTGGATTCCTTGGTAACTCTAAACTGTCCCAGCTGTGAGTGAGAGAGTGAATGTTGTTTGTCTCCATGTCCCAAAATTAGTTGCGGAGCTCCTCAGGGTTCAATGCTTGGACCAATACTCTTTATATATATATATATATATATATATATATATATATATATATATGCTTCCATTAGGTAAAGTTCTTAACAGCATGGAATAAATTTTCATTGTTATGCTGATGATAGTTATTTTGTCCTGCCCCACTGTTCACAGGTGACTGTTGGAGCCATTTTAGCTTTTAGCTACAGTTTTGTTGACCCTTAACCTTTCCCTCTTTATGACCCAGAATAGAAAATGTAGGTAAAAAGTTTATATATTACGGGTACTTCATTTCTGAGTCACATGGAAAAAGGGGGAGGATGTTTTTCATGTGTTTATTTTAAAGCAACACAAAAATGTCAGAAATTATTCATTAAAAAAAAAAAACCTATAAGCTTTGCCAAGTTTTATTCTACTGATATATGTGAGGGTTAAATTAAGTTCTCCTGAGATTTTATCAATTGGACACCTTTTAAATGAAAGGTATATATATATATATATATATATATATATATATATATATATATATATGATAAATACAGTAAATAACATGTTCTGTATTTTACTAGTATATAGCTGTTTCTGGCGTTGGTATTTGTGATTTGGGTTTTAAACACAAACCTAAAACGTGTTGTCAACAACACTTCATTAAATTCATTAAATTGTTTCTAACGTTCGTTTTTTTTTAATCATTTTTAATACTTACTATTTTTGACATTTTCTCTTATTTTTTTATCTTCATTTTACATTCCTGTAATTCAGGCCAAATAACAACCAAAATTTTTCATTCAGAATAAAAAAAACATGACATTTATTTTAGATAACATGAAAAAAGAGGATGACAAAAAAAAAAAAGCAAAAAGAAACTATCTGTATGTGGCTACATTAAAATTGTTATTGAATAATGTGGACATAATGTAGTTTTCAGACATTGTAGAACAAATTGTCTCAGCGTTTGTGCAAATAAACAGCCTCACTTGTGCTAATTAACAACAAATGCTGTGTATAAACTCAAAGCTGGATTTTTCCTCAGTCTAACTTCTTAACATCTGGCTAAACAGCTGTGAGACTTAGCAGTTATTATATTTCATTGAAACTTATTTTTATATTAAAGGCTGGGCCCTGCAGGGCAGAACTTGTGGCCTCTGAACACATTTTGTTGGTGGCTATAATGTATCTGAACCACAGTGGCAGCTGTTTATTCAGGCAGCTTTTTGTTGAGAAGACACTCATCCTTCTTTTTTATTGCAAATGGAACATGGAGGAAAAGCTGAAGGGCGTGTCTTAGTGCTGTGAGCATGTTGATGAAGCGTGTGCTCTCCTAAATAGGGAACGCTGCTCGTTTCTCTGTGTGGGCTGAGCGAGCTGAGTGGAGGCAACAGCCACAAGCGCTCGAGGATAAACGAGCAATGAGGATACAAAACAAGAAGCTGGAAGATTTATGCTGAAAGATCAAACTGTTGTGTTCACATTTATTCAGCGTGACAAGTTGGAAACAATCTTATCGACACTTTATGTAAACCAGCCCCTGTCAGAGTCTTATGAAGCACCGTTACCCATAAAAGATGTGCAAGCTGCACAATCTTCACTGCTGCTGAAGTGGAGGCTCTTCAAGTTTGTCAACAGACTTTAAAGAGATCATCCAGGTATTGCAATGATCAATATCTTACCTGTTGTAGATACCTCCTTGAACAAACTCAGTTTGGAGAACTATAGTTTAATTCTGACAGGATTGGTAAGCTAAAGGCTAGTCTGAGCAGAGTTGAGTCTAAAGTGGATTACTGCTGCCTTAATCAAGGTCCTTTACTGTCATTCGCATCGCGTGGTACATGAGGTGGAATGAAATTGTGTACTCAAGGTCCCAGTTACACCCAAAAATAGCAAAAAAATAAAGTATAAAAAGAAACGGTATGTAAGGATCTAAGATGTACACTAAGATATACGCTAAACACTAATAATGTAAAATAATACGGTATATTAAACAGCAGCCCGAACATGAGTCTGTAGTGAGTAGATGGGTGTGAATGAATAATCAGCACTGAACTAAAGACATGACATCACCGTTCACGTGAATGCTGTTCATTAATATTTAAACCACCATCAGTTTTATAAAACGTTATTCTAGCAGAAATAGAACCAAATTCCTGCTGGATGTGCATCAAACTGCTCCTGAAGTTAATTAAACTAATTTAAGTAAACGTGTAATGTGAAACTGACGGTAATGTAAAGATTTATCGACTCTCACAAAAGGTTTAAGATTTGAGTTACTTTTAAGATGACATCAATTCATCTTGGTCCTTAAATTAAAATAAGAACTTCCTAAACTCAGTTTGATGAGAAGAAGAATAAAAAATTAAAAAATAAAAATGACCACGAGGTGAGGACTCTGTCACCATTTGCCGTCTTTGGTCTAGAGAAGAGAGAACAACAGGAGCAGAACAGAAATTGTCATTTTATTTTATGTTTGAGCAGAAAATTATGATTTTATTATTGTTTTGATTTTTTTTAGTATTGAGAAAATACTTTTTCAAGACTCAAATGCACTTTTCTGGCTTTCTCTTTGAAATCTCATTGAGTTTCTTCACTGTGACTGTAGATATCAGCAGAAGGAACAGACTCTTTGTGTTTGAGGCCAGTGGAAACTGAAGTGCACACACACACACACACACACACACACACACACACACACACGTACACTGAGCTTCATCAGTGTGTGAACGTGTGTCCAAACCTCGCCCGCTGCTTTGGAACAGTGTCTTCATTGATGACGCTCCCCTCACGGCCTTTTGTCCACACACTTTAACCTCAGCATGTCTGGGTCCTGCAGCCGGATCCTGACCTTATGTCTGTGTTCTGATGCTGCTTTCTGGTGTATTTTTGTGCGTGTGCACGGTGAGTCACTGTTCCCCTGACGGAGATAATGTGGCTCAGGCTGTCTGCCGACTAACCAGATTTGGAGGGCGGCTGAGACGCATGGAGATCCATGGCGAGAGGTCGAGCCCGTTGGCTCCAAGATGAAGATTCTGTTGCTGCTGGGTCCGACAGAACCACAGCAGCTGTTTGTTCCAGTCCCCCTCAGCGATTTAATCTCATTTATTCAGCAAGTACAGGCAGATATCTCGTTAGGAAACCTGGAGTAAAGCTTGTGGGCAAGAGACAGAGTCTGTTTCTTCCATCTAGTCCATAAGGAGGTGTCCAGGAGGGATCAGAGCCTGAACCACCTCCACTGACTCCTTTCGATGTGAGGAAGCAGCG